ACATCCATAGATCCATTAGATACCAACAGTTGTGAAACTATACTCTTTTCTGCTCGAGACTTCCAAAGTCGGTCGGTGTTTTACCCATAGCTTCATAGCTATTAAAGTAAACACTTGTCATCCCTGTGGCGTAATCACAAGGCGCTCAATATAAACTGCTGATCTTCGACTAAGAGTGAATAAATGAAAATAGAATTATTATTCACATAAACGGGGATTTTCCGTGTCAACCCACTGTCCCGTTTAAACTCGTTAGACAACGAAGCGGATTAAGTAAACCGTAAACTCACCAGTCTAGTCGAAAGTATTCTTACCATAATCTATGATACAACCGACACTAAGAGCATAGTTCGCCACTTTAAAATAATGTTCAGCTGCTGCTTTTCAATCAGTAATATGTGCTCATATTTCATTCCTTCCGATTTGGATAGAAGCTCACTATCACTGCAAAGTTCTAAGTGCTTAAGAAAAGTAAGTATTGATTGTCAAAATTACATGTACGGGTCTATTCACCAAATTACCTTAATCGAACTGTAGAGATATATAATAAACCTTCGCGCATTAAAAGCACAGTCATCATAGAAGAAATCCGGCCACAATTCAATCAAATTTCCTGTATTTGAATCCCTATAATAAATGAAATATCAAAAGTCATCTTTTGCTGTTTATGCGCGTAAACACGCGTCACTTTGCGGACGTACAGAATATCGAATGCAGATGTTTGCTCCCAATAGTCTATCAGCGACGTTTTTCAAAAAATTTCGTGTATTACCGTTCACAAGTTTTCACGAGAGATTCGAGAAAGTTATCGGGTTCATTGAATGCAGTTCGAAATCGGCGATAAGCGAGTGAGGCTTCCAGAACTGGGGGGGAAAAAACCATCAATAAGATAACAAGTGAAATACAAAGTAGATAAACTAGTCGAAATAAATTCTCACTCAAATGTTTTCTCAATTGACAACGCAAGGTTGTTAGAGTACGTTTCTATTACGCCAACATAAAGCTTATCGTTTCGGTCAGGACAAAACACAGATATGATTTATTTGATTTGGTTGTATTAACAAATCCGTCGTATACGTCTTTGTTTCATCCACGTCCATGCTCTCATTATTTGTAACGTCGTCTTTTCCATGACTTTTTGAAATACTGTCTTCGGCCATAGTCTCTTCGTAATCTGTTGTATCGTTCTCAATGTTTTTAGATTTGCTGGTTTTGTGCCAACCTAAAACTATCTTCTTCTTCCTCCTCCTCCTCCTCTTCAGCAACAAAGTTACCGACAAGCCCATCTATAATAAAGGGAAGTGGAGAACCAATTTCATCATCGCCTTCATTATCTTCACTTTCATTCTCGGAATCCTTTTCGTCGGCCATCAACTTCTGAAACGCATCTTTTAACTGATCTTCTACATTTTTCCTCAAGCGTTCCGTAGCGGCTTTATTAATCGATATGCCAGAATCTGAAAT